CTCATGTTCAGCCGGCTGTTGACCAACACCCCCAGGTCCTTTTCTGCCAGGCACCTTTCACAGCCACTCCTCCCCCAGCTTGTAGCATTGCATGGGGTTGTTGTGACCCAAGTGCAGGACCCGGCACTGAGCCTTGTTGAATCTCATACAGTTGGCCTCTGCTCAACGATCCAGCCTGTCCAGGTCCCTCTGTAGGGCCTTCCTGCCCTCCAGCAGATCAACACTTCCACCCAAGGGAAGATGAGGGACTGCTGCTTGGCTAACAGACAAACCTAACATCTCCTTGAGGTCTAAATGCTTGAGAATTTCAAACGACACCTGGTGTAGCCTTCCCTCAAGGCTGCCTGCTAAGCTTTGCAGGAAGCTGGACATTATTTGCAATTACATTTGGAAAGGCAGCTCTCCCCTCCAGTTACACTGTAGCACCTACCAGCACTTTATAAGAAGTGGGCAGTCTCAATGTTGAACTTTTAAAGGAATGAGAAGCCACCCGCAAATCAACTCCTTAGGAGCTAGGTCTAAAGCACACTAACAACTGCAACAGGGGGAACTTCTTCAGTTATGCTCTTCAGCCATCTTATTAATACTTCTCATTCTTACCATCAGAAAAGTTAAAATTGGAAAAAGTTATAACACCTCTTCCTTTTTTTTTTTTTTTTTTAAAAAAAAAAAAAGGTCAGAAGCTAAGCTACAGTTGTTACAACCATAAACTGCAAAATATGCAGTTTGACAACTGCATATGCCCTCTTACCTGCAGGAAGGCACTTGGATTTTCCTCTTATGTATTCTGGCTCTAATGAACCACATTGAGGGAATAAAGGATTAACAAGCTATTAGAGCCAAGTGCTTCAAAAAAACCAACCATCAGAAATAAAGTGCAAGAGAATGTATAATGGAAAATAACACAACCAGTTAGATTGGAATGTCAGATTAATTTTATGCCCATTATATGACTGTTTGAAAAATCCTGAGGGATCGCCACAGCTTTATTAGCTTCCCCCCCAGACTCTCCCCACAGACACACACTCACAAAGGACAACAACAAAAAATGCAAGTTTGCTGACACAGGCAACCTAAAGGCAGTACTTCTGATGTATCCCATGTGTCTGACACACTAATTAGTCTATGTGTATGGAACAAATCTGAAACTCCTAAATCTGTGGGGGTCATTGTTCAGGCACACTACAGTAGCAAATAGTCCAGGATTTCTAGATATCCTGAGGTACTTGGCAGCTTTATCTTTTTCCCAAAACCAGTGGCAATGTCAGACCTGATATATGGCACTTGGACCAGGAGATGAAGATAACAGCTACTGAATCAGTTTTTAGGGAGCTGGTAAAGCGATTAAATAAAACACAGAAACTTCTCATGTGGGACCTGCTCTTTAAAACATTCCCCCCTCCTTTGGGGAAATGGAAGTGGAGATGGTATACGGGTACCTTTAAATGTACCCGTGTCCTCTTCATTTGAGAGACGTTGAAGCCAGAGGCCTTGCTGCAGCTCTCTCTCCCAAGGGCAATACTCCCCCTCTACAGCAGAGGGAACCACACATCCATATATAACACCAGACACGCGTGTACACACACAAGTGATGGAGAGAGAGAAAGAGAGAAAGAGAAAGGACAGAATCAGAAAGAGAGACTGTCTGGAAATCCAGCAACTCCCCGTACTCCCGCGGTATTCAAAGTGTCTGACAGGAAAACTGCTTGAATGAAACAATGTCCATCCAAGAACACCATAGTTGAGCAGACTAAACACACAACACGCATGTTACCATACTTAAAAAGCAGTCTTGACTTCCACAGACTTCAGTTATGAAGATACAGCTTCTACGTCGAAAAAGTAGCCAAGCAGCCTGCTGAGCTCATCAACAGAACTGCCACTAAGACTGAAAAAACTGGACTTCTGTTTGCATTAGGCAGCCAAAGACCTTTACGAAGAAGCTCTTTGGAGTCTACTAGTCTTCACAAAAAGGAAATGTGAGTACAAAGACAAAGACAAGATCAGCAAGAAATTGGGCATGGTGGTGAAACACTGGAAACGTGTCTATTCTTAGCACAAACTCTGCATTTTGATGACTGAGACAAACACAGGGGAAGGAGTCTTCCGAAAAT